AATTCTAAGTAATATGCATCAATAAACGGTACTTCATGCATAAAAATTGGTTTTTAAGAGTTTTTATCAAATGATTCATCATATAGTATAGATAATTGATATTATAAATTTTATAAAATACTACGTGAGAAAAATGTTATAATTTTCATTAATTTTTACATTTGATGACTTCTATTAAATTAATAATCACGAAATTCTAAATGTTAATTAATCTGTCTAAATATCGACAACTCATCAAGTACATAAAAAGAAATATTGGGAAATCATGTCTCATACTCTTATATGAAAGACAGCTACTCAACACACTTATTACGATCGTTTTCTTATACTTGTCATAATTATGACCATAAAAATAGAAGAGTTAGAAACGACAAAAACAAAAGAGTTAATGCAAGAAATAACATAATCTATCAAAGTACAATCAACTTTGTAATTTGATAGTGCATTTTTTTGTAACGACAATGATATATGAAGTTGCAAACTTGCAATTTGTGAATTCAGTAAAGTCTGAAAATTTTCTTAATTTTTATTGGGGAAATTGCATAAAAAAAGTAACGTATTTTAACTTGATTCCTAGTTTGGGTAACATATTTTTAGAACTTCCATTTTGGTAATTAAGATGTAAAATTTTAAACATTTAAGTACATGTGTAATTGGTTGAAGAATTAGTCGGTTATCATGTTGATATAGCGAGAAATGTGGTATTTAACTCAGTATTATTTGTTGAAGTGGTTAATAACATAAACTTTTTTTAAATTTAAAATTAGTCTTTTTTTAATCTAAAATTAGTATTTAACCCGTTATCCGGGTACTTAAATAGTTAAAAATGTACATCTTAGGTATTAAAATGAAAATTTTCAATTTACCTTACTTAAAATAGAAATCAAGTTAAAGTACATTACTTTTTTCATGCATTTGCCCTTCTTTATTATGTTCAAGATATTGCATTGAGATTTCCTTCCCATACTTGTTAGCTGTTAATGTTGATGCAAAATATCGTTTAGAATCAACAAAAAGACAAACTTATAACAGCTTACACTCCACAACAAAACGGAGTAGCTTATGAAACTGGAAATTGTGAATTCAACAAAAGATATTATATTGAGATTCCCTTCCCGTACTTGTTAACATGGATTGGAAAAACCGGTTTGAATCAACAAAAAGGCATCTACGACAAGCTACTCTCCACATCCAAATGAAGTAGCCGAAAAGGAATAATCGAGCCATAATGAATACAGTTCGAAGCTTATTCATGAAGATATTAACGCCAAAGGTTTTTTGAGTATAAATCAGACATTAGCCATGATCAAACTGGGTCGGATTAAAACCGACCATATCCAATTCAACCCACGATTTAATATTTTTATTTCAATTGTCAACTTGATTTGGTAACGAACATAATAAAACCGGTTTATTTCTCTTGTTTTCAAGCTTGATACGTAATCGTTTTAAATTTACAGTTTTCATATTTTGGAAGTCTTAATACACTTAGATTTAACAGAAACACGTTTAAGAGCAATAGATTACTTGTATATAAATAGCTGTCCAATTTTTGCCTTCGTTTTTCATGATACTACGCATTAATAGATTTATGAAAACAACTTCACTTAAAACAAAAAGGGATAGACTAAGGCCCTGTTTGTTTTTACCTAAAAAGCACTTAATATCCTCTTATGTCTGAATCGGTCAGACCTTAGGGTATTAAGTGTGTTTGTTTNTGTTTATCTGCAGTTAGTTACACGAATTTAAAAATGAAGCTTTAATAAGTTGTACTTACGTAAAATTACTTGTAATATTGAATTATAAGTAATATGCATTAATAAACAGTACTTCATGTATAAAAAATGGTTTTTAAGAGTTTTTGTCAAATGTTTTATAATATAGATAAACATATGTGTTTCTTCACTTTGTGCATCTTGCTTCAAACCAATACTATATTCATATTTTCAATTTAACATCTACATTGAAATATGATTCATTAGTTTTAAATTGATTATCTTTAGCTTTGAAGAGTTTTATTTTGTTTTGTTGACAATGTTAAAAAAAATATATTAAGTTGTTGCAACTTTTACATGTTACAGGATGCAAAATGCAGTTCGGTTTTGGATTACAAAAAGTTAAACTTGCCAGTTCAGTCATGTTTACGATTACGAATGAGACCCCTGATTCTGCATTTGCCTTTGATTTGCTGTCATTCGGGTTGTTGTTTATCCTTTTCAAAATTGTTTGTTTGGAGAGTTGTTGTTTGTCGGCTCGCATAGCGGGTTGGATATCCAGGTTAATAAAAAAAGTTGATTTTGATTTGTTAAGACATATTCGATAAAATGACGAAAATCTCCAACATTTTTAACGGCCATTAAGAGAAGAGATCAAATTAGGACATTTTCGAAACCATAATGATCATTAAACCTTTACAATGGAACATTATATGTTACTAGAAAGGTACTCGCGCAATTTAGTGAGATACATCTTGATTTTAATATTTCGTTTTATTCTGTATCTCAGTCGATGTTATAATATGGTCTTATGTGATTTTGAAAATGCGACAATATTTTTATTTTTGAATAAAATATAAATTTGAAAATATCATAAAATTTTGACAAAAATATATCGATATTAGTATCAAATTAACTATTTAAAATTTTCTCATTTTTGTGTAATTTTTTAATTCAATTTTTTATTATAATTTAATTTAGGTTCAATAAAAAAGTAATTTATATTATGTTTGATAATATAATTTTTTATAAAGATAATAATTAATTATTTTGTTAGAATTTAGATAATTATCCTAATTATATTTTAGATTTTTTATATTTTAAAATGAAATGTTTATCTTTTATTTGATCATGTTTATCCGTAATTAGCTACATGAATTCAAACATAAGGCTTTAATAAGTTGTACTTACACACAATTTACTTTAATCTTAAATTTTAAATAATATATATCAATAAACAGTAATTCATTTATAAAAAATAATTTTTAAGAATTTTTATCAAATGCTTTATATATAGATACTTCCACGTTTGTTTTTGCTCTAAAATTTTAATGTTTGTTTATAGCCGTAAAATCTGAAGAAAAAAGGGGATGGATCTAAACGAATAATTAAACCCAATTTCTGCCCTGCTTTAATGCTTTTGTCCGTTCCTGGGCTAAAGTGGATCTGCAGCTTTCTATTGTTGACTTCCATGCACATTTGTTTCACTCAATGCCATAAACAGTCCCTCAACTTTTCTAACTTCTCATTTTTTTCATTCATTGCTGTTTTTTTATACATTTCTAGTCCTGTGAATGGTTCTAACGTCATGTATCAAATTTGCATATATTACTCTGTTTTATGGTACATCTGGGATGATACTAGTATTAAGTTTACTCCTGTAAAATCAAGTCTATGTAACAAATTCTACCTACTTGTTATTACAAAGTATTCATAAAAACCATTGGATCGTTCAAACAGATCAAACCAAGTAAAACCAGACTGTTTTTGACGATTTAAGCAGTTCACAAAGCATGTGATCGTCTTGGGATTAGTTGACTTGCATAACAGATTGAATATCCAGGTTAATAAAAAAAAATTTGTTTAAAAATATACTTTGGGTATTAAATGTAGGGAATTTGTCTAAAATGGCCGAATGGCTCCTTCTTATTCACATTCTAACCCATTTTTCCCAATTGTTCTAAAATTCAATCATCTAATAAGCCTTTTATTTGGAAAGTAAGAGTATCTCCAACAGATTATTTAAAACAGAAAATTAAAAAATCAAAATCTTCAAAAAAAATTATCTTTATTTTTAACAGATTCTCTATTTTGAAAATTACATAATTAATTATATTATTAAAATATTCAATACAACTCATAAAATATTATTTTCTTCTCCTAAATATTTAAATTCAAGCAATTTCATTGGTAAGATGAATAAAATGTCACTTCTCTTATAAGTAATCATTTTTTGAGAAATCTCTAAATTTAGAGAATTTCATCGTCTGTCGTACCATCTCCATTTTGGAGAAGGTTCTGGGGAATTATTCGGAGCAAAAATTCTCAAAGCTCCATTTTTGAAGAAGCTCCAACATCACCAAAACGTATCCCAGATTTGACTACAAAAGAAGTAACTCGGAGGCTCTAAGGGGATGATAAGGGCTTCAGTTGTTGAAGAAAATGTTCCAATGAATCTTTATTCACTCTTTGTCGCTAACCATGGCAAACACTAGCAAGTGATGGTACAGATACGTCCAAATTTCGAACCTCCGGAGAGAAGGGCGTTGAGTCAGTATTTCCATGCCTAGTCCCTGTTTCGATTAAAGACCTAGAACATGTTACAAGTCTAAACAAATGAAATTTTTATGTGAGAAAATCAAGTCAGGAAGTCCTCTCATTCTGGTGCTTGTAAAATAAGACCAGTAGATGAAGTAGGAAATCCTTGGCGAGTAAAAAATCTCTGCCATAAAAGAAAAGAGAGTTTGTAGGCCTTATTCTACAGATCGAAGAGCGCCTTAACCGAAATTTCGTAAGTGTTCGTTTCACAACTTGTAAATGTACATTTTATATTAAAATAGGATTCTTTTAGACCATTTTTTTTATTAACCTGGATATCCAACCCATTATGCGAGCTGACTAATCCCAGAGCAACCACTTGCTTTGCAGATAACCCGGAGTCACCACATTTGAACTTCCGTGGCCATAAGGAGATTTTTATTCCTCCTTGGATTTGAACCTGAGACCTCCAGGTACTTTTGACCTTTGGAACCAAGCTCAAACCAACCGGGCAACACCCTTGTGATTTCTTATAGGCCATTTTTCAACCCACTAAGGACATTTCGTCAAACCGATCCCACCAGAATCATATTTAATTTAAAAAATAATATTTTTTTGCAAGTTGTGGAATGGGAAATTGTGAAATGTTGGTCCAATTGAAGGAAACTCATGAGAGCACATCAATCATACAGAAAGAACAAAAAATGGTGTCTTTTGTGAAACTAGCCTGCACAGGTTACAATGAGGTTTGATCTACTTCCTCCCCCAAACCCTAGGGGTGTTTCAATTCTTCTGTTAAATTTCAAACAACACACCTCAAAAATTTACACTTGCCATAAACAAACTATAATCCTATTACTATTGACTCAAATAATCAAAAAATACTGCTCAAAATGCAGCAATCGGTTCGTGTTAATTGCGTACCAACATCTGCAAACCGCAACTTCAAGGTCGCCAAATGGTCTTTTGGATGCATAGAATGCCCTCCTTGTTCTGAACAAACGTCATACGGATCTCCCAGTTTAAACTTCTAAAGATTGCTTCTAAAGGTTTAAGAATCTCTCCTTTGTCACGTATGATTGCCCAACCGCCAGGTCTTAATATGCGATCCATCTCAACGACTATGGTTACCGGTTGCTTACACCTGCAAAACAAGATTATCAATGCCAAGATTGTCTGTGAACTCCCGTAGTAGATTATGATCTTAGGGACAGGTTCATTTAAGGATCGTAAATATTTTGAGAACCCTAAGACCCAACTATCCATTATGAATATCGTTCATGATACTGATGGATGAATAATATTGTGTATATTTATTGATATTCATCATGTGTAATTGGTTCCCATTATTCTCAAAATATTTATGGTTCTTCATGTCAACACTAATGAACACAAGTCTTTAATATTACGGTAGAAACCCCCAAAAAAAGAATTTTGAGATAATTCAAACCAAACGAAATCCCCAAAAAAGAATTTTGAGATAAACCAAACCAAACCAGCGCAGTATATCCCACCCAGAGGTGGGGTCTGGAGAGGGTAAGATGTATGCAGACTTGACCTCTGCTTCAAAGTGAGAGCAACAGCTTCCATGTAGACCCCCCCCTTTCCCTAATAGAGTGACCAAATTATCCTCATGTATATTGTGGTGGAGTTTCTATATGTTGGCATCAAGGAAAATTGACCAAACTGCCAAGTGCATATTGAGGAAATGAACTGTAATCAACACATTCTGCTGACGTGGGGAAGGATTCGACAAGAAGTCATGAAGTTAAAAAGCATGATGAGATAACGATAGAAGAGAACGGAGGATATATAAAATAGTATGAAACGGAAAAAAAAACTCAAATTAACCTGTTCTTAAGCCTCGAGAAGAGATGATCAGCATGCAAAAGGTCATATGATCTTGGATAAGTACCAAAGGGTTCACACCAGTCGTGATAGATGCCAATAAGGCCACGCTCAAAGATTATGGGAAGTGTATCAGGTGCATACACAGGCACCACATTCATGACCCAAACCTTCTGTTGCAAGAGTGCAGCTGCAAAACTGTAATGTTATAATGCAATCAGCAAATTAACAAATGATAATGAAGTATTGGAATTTTGAGGTCAAACCGACAAACTTTCAACTTCCAATTGACATGAAAAATCATAGGCTTGACTTCAAAATAAAAATTAGCTCGCTCGTCCATTCTCTTGGAATAGAGGGGGAGTAAACACAAAATTAGAAATGATGAAATGTAAAAGAATAGGTACTGCATTTACAACCTCCATCCCAAAATAAATGTCCATAATGAAAAAGGAACAGGGTTTTAAAAATGTGTAATTACTTCTTAATTAACTAATGACAAGTTTACCCTTAATAATAGGACTAATGAATTTCTCCATCTCATAATTAAGGGTAGAGTTGGAAAGTGGGCACTTATTTTTGGGACGGAGTGAGTACTAATCTCATTTCGTACCTTCCGAAAATAGCATGCATGTCCATAACATTCCGAATAGTTGACCAGTTGATACCCATTCCTGTTAAGTAGGACTTTTCGAAAATAGATTTCCAGTGCGTGGTGTCTGAAACCAACTTATCTCTATTGTTCATCCAGTCAGGGAATGTCTGAAGCCTCTTGGGCCATTCCTCAGGCCACTCGGTCCCTCTTTCTTCAATGGCAGAAGGAATAAGATGCAAGCATGAATTTATGGGAACATACCTGATCCATAAAAATTCAGGCATTTTATTGGTAAAAGTTGAAGATTTCTTTTTTCCATCATTTTATATGTATTAATGTAGTGTTGCGATGTGATATAGAACTACAGAGTTTGATTTAAAATGTGAGCATATGGACATAAATTCCTAAAATGGTTGCAAAACAGCCACTAACTTCTGGACCCGTGAATAAACCTTCTATCAAGTATTTCAATTCTCGAAGATCTATGCAAGTAAAAAGTAGATGAGATAAAAGTAAGTGAAGTCGGTTAGGAAAAATATATTAACACCTAGCTGGGCCCGTTGAAGTGGTTGGAGATAATCTAGTGTTCCTAAATTCAAACTAGGGATACATCAATGGCACACAGCAATAATTTCAGCTACTTGGATGTGGTTTCCTAGATCTTCGAGAAAAAAGTAACTATTTTTCTAGGGTGCAATGGAGGGTTATTTAGGAGAATAACCTACCAATTTTTTTAAAATGCATGACCTTCTGCCAGATTTTAAGAACGATTAACACAAGAATGCCTCTTCCTAATAAAAGAATGCCTCAGAATCTGTTAGAAGGTCATGCATTTATAAAAAGAATCTTTCAAAAGGTGAATTTCCTAAATAAGCATGCAACAATGGGCCTGCTCGTTATGCCTATAATCCTGTATAAAAGAACAAGAAATGGACCGACTCCTATTCTCTTTTAGATTTATTTAAAAAGATAGGCATGCCTTATTCTAAAAGAAAGAAAAATTATGTGACTCATTTTCTCGTTTAGTTTATCGAAAAAATATGCAAGATTAATTCTAGATGAAAGAAAAAACAAATGGAGATGGGCAATATGCCTTAACCGTCGTATTAGAGATTCACTGTTAAATACACAAACATACGGAAGAGGATTGCCATTAACGAGCTTACCAAGCAGCATCTGCATTCTCGTTGTCCTTGCACATAGGAGGAACCTTCTTCCTTCTTAATGAATATATTTCATTTGATTCTGGTTTCTGGTATATTCTAATACCTATGTCGCTAACATCATCAGTTTTATGAGCCAAGACATTCCAACCAACTGATGCAGTCAACTTTGACATAGCTGCAGAATCAGAAAGTAAATCCAGTAAGAAGACAATAATATCTAAAATAGCACAAAAAGCAACCAAACTGTATAGTGTAACTAATAATAACTTATTTCCTCAATGGATAGTAACAGAGTTCCAAAATTTTCTATTTTGTACTCATTTTGACCGTGACATGCTTATCTTGTAACATTTGATGACGCTTATGAAATTTTTACGAAAGGATTATGGCTGACGTGGACGATAAACTTGACATCCTCGTCATCAAACGTTATAAAGATCAGCAGGTTATATGTCAAAATGGGTAAACAGTAAAGGTATGAAATTTTGAAACTTTGTTGCACTAAATAGGAATTAAGGCAAACTTCATTGCATTTTTCCCCTTAATTATAGAACAGAACAGTGCATCTTCAGATAATGCAATAAAACACGAGTGAAAACAATAGGATACAGGTTGAAGCAAAAGGTGGAAAGGAACCAAAAGATTTCATTTAAAGAAGTTCAATGAGTTTGGTACAAAAGAAGAAAGCAGATCTTTACAAGAATAAATAGAGACTAACCTTCATCATCTTCAATGCTATCATGTTTACTTGACATAATGAGATAGCCAGCAGGCCTTAAGATTCTATTCATCTCTATAAGCAGCTTGCCACCTGTTAAGTATAAGAAAACAAAGCAAACAAGCAAATGAATAAGACAGATATATTGCCAATTATAGAAAACCCACAAGATATAATCTGGTCAATGTAGGGGGAAATATATTGAAAATAAAGTAACACGAACCATTAGATTGCCAATGAATTTGACATTCTCCACAATGTATGGTATCAAAAGTACCACTCGGGAAAGGGAGCCTCCGAGTTCCAAAAGGGCTAACTATGGCAGGAAAACCACGCTCAAGGGCAACCTGAGCTAGATCCACAAGGTCATCCTTCAAGCCTAGAGTAAGCGTAAATGCATTCTTGTCAGAAAGGAATGCTCCAAAGCTTGAATCAATGCATCCAATGTCCAGTATTGTGCGAATATTTTTTCCCCATTCAATATCTGGTACCGTCTATTAGTTCAATCAATACCAAGAGAAGAAAAATTAGCAAAGTATCAAATATGCACCTTGCAAATAATTTAAAAAAATAACCTATAAGAAGTTAGTGATACAATCTTGAATTCCTAAAATGGTAGAAAAACACCAATTTTTAGGGAATAAAGTACAACATTTTGAGTTTTGGAATGAATAACAATAGTAGTATTGGAAGCTAGTTGATATCTAATAAGAGTTCATAAGAGAGAAAAATTAAAGTACTTACCTCTTCAATTGATTCAAGATAATGAGCAATTCCACCTGTGAGTTCAGATTGGTTTTGTGGAAAAGTGAGATATTCACCAGACTCCACCACCCAATTTTGTGTCTTAGCATATTGAGCTAGTTTTGGATGTGCCACATTCTTATACCATATCTGCAATGATTCTTAACTAGTTTATCACACGGCTAGTGAAAATAGAAAGCCATCAGAAAAACCTTAACCATAATTGTGTTATCATGTAAACATACCTTCTCTCTACTCTCTGGCCAGCTAACTGGTGTACGATATCCCTCATGTGGAAGAGGAACAAGGCACATTAAGGGATTCTTGGGACAGCTCCTCTCATGATGGCGATAACTTTTCATTCGTTTTGAAGTGGCTTCAAAGTCAATACACGGAATATAGTTATGCTTACTCCTTGTACTACACAATTTCCAGCCATACTCGGCCTTTGGATCAAATAATGGACCTGTAAACTTCTGCTTCTTCCCCCTTTTAGCCTTTATTTCAATACTCTCGTCTGCCTGATCTACATCACCTTCTGTACCATCTAAAGCACCATTCATTGTGTTTTCTTCTTCTTCTTCTTCTTTCCCTTCTTCACTTTCTCCTTCCACTTCGTTTTCTTTCCCATTTTCACTCTCCAAATCCTCAGTCTCAGATCCTTTCTCCTCCACTTGTTTCGCCTCTTTCTCATTCACTTTAACTATCTTCACACCCTTTTCTTCTTTCTTATTGTCTTTGGGTCCATCAACAGCATCTAATCCTAGTGACCCGTTAACCCCTTTCTTCTCCTCCACCTTTCCCAAATTCAAATCGGGTTTATTCTTGATTGGAACAGCAGAAGGTCTGCTCTTTCTTATTTGCCCCCTCTCTGAAATGGGTTCTGCCATTTCACCAAAAGTGCTTCTTTGAGATGTGAGAGAAGAAGCTGAAGGAGAAAACATATACCAAACAAACACAAAACACAATCCCAAGATTGTCACTGATGCGAACTTTATAAAAAACCCATATGACCTTTTCGCTTGTCGACCAAATCGAGCTATAGGCAAACCCATCTTCTTTAAACCCATCGACTTCAAAGTTAAAAGAAACAGATTGGAAAACTACTTTACATAATCAATTTCAATGAAGAGGAATAAAAACAAACAGATTGTGGGCATGAATGGATAGTGAAGTCAGAAGTGTTAACTGTAAGCCAAATGATGAAGAGATCAAGAAGAATGAGCAAATTGTTGAAGTTAGTTACCAATTGAATCCTTAACAAAATTGCATTGACATATAGTGATGCAAGTGATACCCATGTGCGTTCTTAGACTGCTTGAATCTTGATTCAACTTCCACAACAAGTTGGATCACAAAATCGAAAAGGTTCTCATGAAATAATAACTTTCTGGTAAGAATAGAAAAGGGAAGTAAACAGTGACCGAGTAGAAAACAGGGTTTTGGTCCAAGCGTAGTCCCGACAAGGATGTCTTCCGGGATCCGCATGCTGATTACTGCAAACGTCTCCTTTCCTTCTCCGAAGTTCGAACCCGTGCAGACCCGACCCGGCCCAACCCACCCCAATTTGTAACTTGAATTTTGAACTCGTAATCAGTTTCTCCTTAAAAAGAAAATATTCTCGACGTCCTAGAAAGTGTCCATAATAAAAAGCTAAAGCATCTGAATGATAATTTTATCTTAATGATAAACAAAGAAACTTTTTTTTTATTAATCTGGATATCCAATCTGTTATGCGAGCCGATTAATTTCAGGACAACCATCTGTTTTACAGATAACCCGGATTCACCGCATTTGAACCTCCTTGACCACAAAGGGATTTTTATTCCTCCTTGGATTTGAACATGTGAACTCCTGATACTTTGATTTTGGGAGCCAAACTCAAACCAACCAGGCACCACCATTGTGGTTGAAATAAACTTTCTTCGTCTCATCGTTAAGAGTAAAATAGAAAAGTAAATATGTAAATAAACTTTTAAAAGTAAATAAACTTTTAAAAGTCTACATTTTTTAGGACAAACTAAAACAGATATGGAAATAGGGCGGACCCACATGGATAGATATCGTATCACCTCTTCGTGGTTTAGTCCTACGGTTGTCAAAATTAAGTACCACGGTTGTTAAATTTGTATTTTTATATACTTCTTGTGTTTTTAAAAATATATGTAGATCGGACTCCAACATGAGTCTTTTCTATGTAAAGACAAGGAACCAACCAACAGATCTATACTAATATGGTGAAGAAAAAAAAAGTTAGATTTTTTAATACTCAAATTGTGCCACACCAGTAATGGATGGAGAAATTTTGTTTGTATTTTGGTATTAGTACTCTTGTACGATGAAGGGTGTTAAATTTGTACCAAATTAAACCAACTATATTAATTAAATTCGGGCCAATTTAATTGGTACCGATTTAAGTCGGTCGGTATTGTCGTATCAAATATGTAAACTTGGTTGATATACTGTATAAGCAATCTTGTACCGTGATTAGTCATTAAATTAATTATTTTATAGTTATTGATTAATAATTTAATAATTAATCTAATCAAATATATAACATTATTTTGTTTGTGAAGATCCCACGAAACACGTCAGTATTTAAATGTTTGTATTAATTTTTGAAGTATTGACTACTAAACATTTATTGTTTGACTACTGAACATTGTAATTAACTTTAATTTTTGCAATGTTGGTACAGAACTAATACCAACCAAAAATTCTTGTTACCAATTAAGTTGGTACAGAGTGTAGCTGGTTGGTATATGGATTATTGGTTGATAAAAATAGCCAAGTGAGTTTATAACATTATATGGAAATCGAGTTATACTCTAGCTACATGGAGCTATGTCGAAATTCAATCTAAATGGAGAGACAAACTTTCAACATCTTAACAGTTACAACATCAGTACCGCTAGTTACAACATCAAAACAAAAGGCTAGGTAGGTCGTTAGATTTGTTCCTTCACAGTATTTTTAACACCCGTAATATTGGGAAAATGATCGGAGAACGAACAGGAAAAATGGTCAGAGAACAACTGGGAAAACGGTCAAGAACTGCTGGGAAAACTATCAGGCTACAATGCAGGCTACAGTATGTCGCGACATGGTGCAGCTCGACGTGCATGGCATGGATGGTGTGGGCAACCTATCTTGCTGCCTAAACCACGGCCCAAACCATGCAACCTTCTGCTTATGTGTTGGTGGACGCGGGCAGGATAGCATCAGGCACCTGATCAACATAAGTTTTATGATTTTTTGGGGTTCTCTTTATTTTACTCTATCTTCTCCATCCCTTATCTGATTTGGGTGATTTTGGAGGCTATAAGCTCGTTTTTTGAAGCTCTTCAAGGGGGGCTTAAGAATATTAAGTTGCTTGGTAATTTTAGAGTTTCCTAAAAGGTTGGAAATCCGCTTCTAAACTACTATTTCTTGACCTAGGGTTTTGTCACCTTGCATCATCAACCTCCTTCTCCTCTTTGTGGTGTTTTGATATAGCTTGGGAGTTCAAAGGACGACTTTAGAGACGTTATCTAGTTTTGAAGATAGCAAAAGTGGTTGCTTTAGTACCATCCGACCATTCTAATTCTCTTTAAGAATCAGGGGCCATTTACAAAAAACTTACCCAATAAGTGCTTACAGGTAAAATTCAACATTATTACTTACTTATCGGTTAAGATTTTAGTCCACCAAAACGGTATCATATGTAATAATTTACCCGATAAGCTCTTACCATGGTAAGAGTCATCACCTTCACTTATTGGGTAAGACTCTTGTTCTTTGTCTCGCTCTTACCGGGTAAGACTTTTAGTCCTTGTCATACTCATCCAGTAAGGTAAAATGACTTGATAAATGCTTACCCGGAGTCCCGGATAAGCATTTGGTAAATGGTCCCTTAGATAGTCCTATTTAGAACTCTGATACTTAGCTAGTCCTTTTATAATCTTTATGTATTTCTATATCAAACTTTTTCTTTAAATTAAACGAGTTTGGAAGTTTTTAAATTTTCAGTTATTTTCAAATTTTAGGGGTGTTATAGACTGACAATATTTTACTACATTTTCTTTGGCATCTGATATGAAATAATGTTTCAGTTTGCTTTGATGATCTCTTGTTATGGGTCATTATAAATGACATGATTGGTCAATGGGAGTTGAGATGTGTTTTTTTTGGCAAAACGATCATTGCAATTTGAAGAATGAAAGTCAAGTAATTGGTTGCTTAAAACCTTGGATAGTTATGTAATTTACTTTATCTCGATAATCAGTTTTATTACGATATTGTTTATTCATTGATTTAAAAAAAAATGAGCTAATGTATAAAATACTTGTATAGTACACTCCTAGCCACCCACAACTCACCAACGAACCCTGTTGCCCCTGCCGGTAGCCCCACCCTCCGACCCTGCCTCCCTACCCGACCATGTTCATTGTCTCCCATTCCCTTGTTTTCTAATTCACAGATTAAATTCTTTTAGCCCCCGAAAGTTAGTATTTCTTATCTTTTAACCGTCTAAAGAAGTATAAGTTATGGTATTTTCATGATCCTTTATCCATTTGACTAGACGTGGTGTAAATGATATGGAATTATTGGAAAGTTACGTCTTACGTTGTCTTTATATTGGATTACATAATATATATGTACAAAAACCGTGTGGTCATTTTAAGAATTTTCCTAGTTTTAAATACAACATGAACATTTTAAAATAATTCGCTTATAACATGTGAATCATGGTCGTCCACATTGATGGACAATAATTTTATCCAATAAGAGGAGATATATGATTAGGTGATTGACAATCATCACGATCGTCATCTCGAATATTAATTTTATGGTTGAAAATGAATCAATATAACAATAAAAAATACAAATAATGTCAGATAAGGAAAAACGTGGTGTAATAGAATATGATAAGAAAACGATTGACTTATTGAATAAGACATATTTTTTTGTCGTTATTCTTTTTTGATCGATTAATATATCATCGGTAAAATCTTTCAAATAATGTTGGACATAATCATGTCGTGTTTAAAATTTTGCATTATTATCATGTCCCATTCTTATACCGAATGTGACGTATACATGGTTTTCATAAGCTATCCAATATTATTAAATATGTGGTGGAAAGTTTAAATTTTAAAGAGAATTTTTAACAGATTCTTTAAAACAGAGAAAATCAAAATTTCTTTTATATTTTGCTCCAACAAATTTTTTATATTATTATTTAAAATAGAAAAAAAAACTTCAAATTTAGAAAGTCTCTGAAATCTAATGTGAAAAGAGCAATGGTTTCTTTATTAATTCTCATCAATAAAATTTAGTTATTATTATTATATATATATATATATATATATATATAGTTTGTTTTCAAATACAACCCGTTGTATTTGTACAACCAATGCAACCCAATAAATTGAGATATTTATGGAAATGATGAAAGTTCATTTATTATGATTTGAA